GGGAGTAGAAAGCCTCATCTTTCTCCCTCGGTGCTACTAGGAAAGAAAAATTATGTCTTGCTTTATGGACGTTATTAATTGATACCCATAAGGAAAGCGGTAAAATGTGGTAGGTACGTAAACCAACAGAATGAAATAGCAGCATTGAAAAATTAGTGTGATTTCAGTGTCTAAAGTTGGAACAATTTTGAAGAATCTGTAGGAGAAGTCCTGGTGTGGCGCTGTGGGTTAATACACCAGATTGCAAAGCCATTTGAACTGCAAGGTCGGTGGTTCAAGCTCACCAGTTGATCCTCAGAAACCCTATACAGGGTCACTGTGGGTCGGAACTGACTTGATAGCACTTAATAACAACAACATATACAGAGAGACCAGCAAGTTTGGGATAATTCAAGAGAATGGTATGATGATGAAAGATAAGGACTGGACTGCTAACCACAAGGTCGGTAGTTCAAACCCACCAGTTGCTCCTTGGAAACCCTGTATTGTTGTTGTTAGGTGCCATGGAGTCAGTATTGGCTCATAACGATCCTATGCACAAACGACCCTATGCACAACAGAACAAACCCTACCCAGTCCTGTGCCAACCTCACAATTGTTGCTGCACTTGAACCCATTATTGCTGCTACTGTTCAGATCCACAGTGTATAGTCTTCCTCTTTTTCACTGATCCTCCACTTCACCAAGCATGATGTCTTCAGGAACTGGTCCCGCCAGTTTTGGGAAACCAACTTGACAGCACTTAACAGCAACAGCCATTAAATGGAATGGAAGAGGGAAATATGAGAGTCACCAAAAGTAAAAATGAACAAGACTTGCTTTTATATTGTTTTTAAAACTATTATATTATTAACATGACATATAATATATATTAGTAGCGTAGTGGTTATGAATTGCGCTGCTAGCCGCAAGGTCAGCAGTTCAAAACTACCAGCTGTTCTGTGGGAGAAAAATGAGGCTTTCTGCTCCCGTAAAGATTTACAGCCTCGGAAACCCTGTACAAGGTCGCTATGAGTCGGAACCGACTCCACGACACATAACAATAATATAATAATATGCAGAAGATGAAAAATAGTGATGAGTCAGGTGTAAAGTGTTTTGAAATACTCTATATTATTCCAGGGAGAACAGTGGCTCCTTAGGACAAACACTGGACTGCGAACCAAAAGGTCTGTGGTTTAAGCCCACCAGTCGCTATGCGGGAGAAAGATGAGGCTGCTCTCTGCTCCCACGAAGTTTCAAAGCCTCAGAAACCCCATACAGGGTCACTATGAGTCGGAACTGACTTCATGTCACTTACTAATAACAACAACAACAATATTAATATTCCATGCCACAAAGAGACAGTATTTAGAGGCAAGAGGAACCATGTAAGGAGTAAGATGGGAAATTAGAAGTCTGGAGGATAGCACTTAACATAAAAATTTTTTAAAAATCACACAAATGTACTAAAATCTAACAAAATATTATATGAAAATTATTGGCAAATACAGAGAGAATGGAGCCCATGAAGGACCACATGATTTTCAAGTCAGTGATGCCACTGAGACAGGAATTGTTGTTGTTAAGTACCAGGGAGTCGGTTCTGACTCACAGTGACACTGCACAGCGTTTCCGAGGCTGTAAATCTTTACGGGAGTAGAAAGCCTCATCTTTCTCCCACGGAACAGCTGGTAGTTTCGAACTGCTGACCTTGAGGTTGGCAGCCCAACTCGTAACCACTACGCTACCAGGATTAGAGGCTGTTACAGTAATCAGGCAGGGTACAATCTACACGGTTAGGTTGTATCTGGAATCAATCCCTTTTGAGAAATAGAAGAGTTTAAACAAGTGAGCTGAGATGGAGGGACTTCAATACTACTAAGATGGAAAATCCTTTGGAACCAGGGTCCCTGTGCTGAGAACTTCACTATGGAGCCAATTTGGAGACAACATGTATTACATAGTAGAACTACTTCATAGGGCATGTTTTATATAATATAAAGACCTTTTCATTTTTTCAAGTTAATTTGGTTTTGATTATCTGATACTGGTCATATCGTTCAAAGTAAGCATGACTCGCATACTTCATTATCTATCTTCACCTCTTTATTCTACAGAACTCTTTGCTTAAACAGATCACAATGTATGTGAAAGCAAACCAAACCAAGGTTTAGTGACTTATTCAAGACCTCACAATTAACCAGAAACTTCATGATTAGGATTTCCGCTTTACATATTTAAAGATACAGAAAAACAGCAACAGGTTATTAGGAGACACAAAGGAGATGCTGTTGTTGTTACGTGTCATTGAATTGGTTCTGACTCATAGCCACCCTTTATAGGGTTTCTGAGGAGCAGCTGGTGAGTTTGAACCAATGACCTTGCGACCCAGTGCATTATTCCACAGCACCACACCAGGACTCTACAAAGGAGATAGGATGTCCCTAGTCTGTGACCTGACACCCACCTACAAGAGATGTAACTGCTTATACGTGACCTAGAGTGGATGTCATACTGCCTCCCTCTTCCTTACAAAATATTTACTTATATAAATTACTCAACCAAGATGTAACCAAATGCTTATAAATTTCTATACCAGTCAAACAACCACAAATAGCTATCATACTGAAATTTCTACAAACAAATTACCATAAATAATGAAAATAAGTAGGTTGCAAGAGTGCAAATCAAAATTAAACTAACACTATTATTATCTTAATGAATCATTTAAGTACTGTGTTCCCATTTCAAAGCTCTCATTTTATTTAGCTTCTGTATTAATCTAGCCAGAATTTAAATTAGCCCAGATTAGATCGTAATATATTATTTATAGCTTTTTATTGGTGGTAAATTATGCATTTCCATCCAAACAAGTGTAATAATTCTGTCAGTTTCATGTAAAAAGCAATTTAGGAATGTACAGCATATTGCTATATTAAAATAAATTTTTAATGTTTTTTTTCATAGACTTGAATCAAAGGAGCCTTTCCTGTCTGTTGGGTGAGTAGATGTGTAAATATTTTGAACATCAATTATTTAACTCAAATAAACACAGTCTTAGGAGATTGTATTTTCAGCCATTTAACCCCATATTCAAAATCGTAACATAGTCAGCAACATTACTATCTACATATTATAAAGACTTAGCTAAAATGCTACCTAGGTAGTTTTGCTACCTCAGAAATGCAGCTAACGAATGCATATGAAGTACAGAATCCACTTTAAAATTCAAATAAAGAATTTTTAAAATTATTATTATCCATATTGTGATCACTGTAGACATTTCAAATTGTTTATGGTTTTTTTTTCAATTCCTCTGAATCACAACTTCACTTTTCCCAGTTTGCCCACCCAGTTTTTTGTACTGCTTTCTTTCAATGTACTCTACGTCAGTGTTCCTTTCTTCCTCTATCTCTAAATCTGTCTTCAAAATCAATATGCCTCTTTCCTCCTTTTCTTTCTTTTCACTTTATTTCCCCAAGTCCCTCACACTGGCCGCTTCTCTGAACATAAAACCAAAGAACCTTGAAGCCTACTAGGTAAGAAAAATGGGAAACTTTCTGAGCCATGGTGCATCCCTATTTGGAGACTGCTGACACATGTGCTACCTTACATAATGATGGTTTTTCACAAGTGCACACATGTACTATTTTCAGACATTTAGAACTAAAGAAGAATATGCATAGTTAAAAAAAATATTTTATTGTATGTTACGTCAAATTTTACATAGCAAATTAGGTTCCCATTTAATTATTTGCACATAACTTGTCCCATGGCATTGATTATATTTTTCTTAATGTATCAACATTCTCTTTATTGCTCTCCTTTTTGTTCAATTTCTATGATTCTAGTTATCTTGCCCCTCCTGAGCTTCTCAATTTAGGGTAAATGTTACCCATTTGGTCTCCTGTATTTTATTACTTAAGGAAGCACAGTATTCATGGATGGTATTGTTTTCTTCCATAATCCAATCTGTTGTTTGGTTGAAAGGTAGCCACTGGGAATGGATTTAGTTCAAAATTCAAAGGGTATTTTAGAACAATAGGCCCTGCAGTTCTAGTGGCCCAGTAAGCTTAACCTTTTTTAGGTATTTGAGTTTTGTTCTGCATTTGTCTCCCTTTCTTCCTATCTGGGACCTTCTGGTTGGCAGTGGTAGCCAGCTACCATCTGGTTCTTCTGGTCACAGGCCAGATGAAGTCATGATTCATGTGGGCTTTTAGTCCTGTGGACTACTTTCTAATTTGTGTCTTTGGTTTTCTTCATTCTCTTTTGTTTCAAATGAGTAGAGACCAATAGTTGCTCTGGATGAGGACAGACCAACAGTTACATCTTAGATGGCTGCTCACAAGCTTTTAAGACCTCCAACACTATTCATCAAACTAGGATGTAGAATATTGTTTTTGTGAACCCTTTAGTATGCCAAATGACTGAATTATTCCAGAAGTCCATGGTCCCAAGCCTTAAAACCAATAAACATATGCTGAACAGTGTTTAGATGTGTCTAAATAGTAGCCATACCAGTTCCTCCTATGTGGTCTATTATATATATGAATATATATGCAGTACATACAAACATGTGTATGCATATGACCACAGATAAACTTGTACACATGTACCTCACTATATGCATATATGCATACATGTCTAGCTGTATAACCAATGTGATCATTGTTGTTGCAAGCTTGTATATTATAGCATTTACCAAAATGGTGTGTTATTGCAAATTTTTGAGTGTCTTTATTAACATTGGACAAGTCATGCATACTTCTCCTATATGATTCGCATCTATTATGTAGAAAGGGATTCTTCTCATTCCTCCACCAATCCTGGTAACCATCAAAGAATAATTGTTTACTGTGTGTATACCTATTATTGACTTTTTAGAAAAGGTGAGATCATATAATACTTGTCTCTAGTGATTGATTGACTTATTTCAATCAGTTTCAGCCACGTTATCAGATGTTTTGCAGACTCATTATTATTATTAATTGTTGCCTAGTATTTAATTGGAGTACGGGTGTGATGCTGTGGGTTAATGCGCTGGACTGCAAAGTTGCTTTGAACCACAAGGTTGACAGTTCATCTCACCAGCTGTTCCTTGGAAACCCTATACAGGGTCACTATGGGTTGGAACTGACTCAATGGCACTTAACAACAACAACAACAACAACAGTATTTTATTAGAAGCCTGGTGTGGCACTGTGGGATAACATACTAGATCTCAAGATAGGCTTGAGTCTCAAGGTTGTTGGTTTAAACTCACTAGCCATTTCTCAGAAACCCTGCACAGGGTCTCTGTGAGTCAGAACTTAACAAGAAGTATTTTATTGTATGAATGTACCACAATTTGTTTATTCATTCATTTGTTAATTTACACATGGGCTATTGTAAATAAATCCACAATTAACATAGATGTGCATATGTCTATTCATGTCCTACTTTTCTGTCTCTACAATATATGCCTACAAGTGGGATTGCTGAATCACACGGTATTTCTATTTCTAGCTTTTTGAGAGAATGTCATACTATTCCATTAGAGGTTGTACTGTTGTACAGCCTACCAGCAATGGATACACAGAAAGAAAGATGTGGCTTTCTGCTCCCATAAAGATTAACAACTTCGGATACCCTATACAGCATTGCTAGGAATCAGAAATTATTCAGAAGCACGTAACAGTGACAGCAATATACAAGAATTGCAATTCCCCCCTAATTTCACTAGCATTGTCATTTTACAGGAATAGGGTATTATCTCTTTTTAGATATTTTGTTGTTGTTGTTTTTTGTGTTTGTTTTTTTAGTTTTTATTGTGAAATGAGTAATAGTTTATTTGGGACAACATAGGATTTACACTCATCCTTTCATTGCAATGATTACAACCTCTTCCATGCATCATCATTCAAGAATATTTGCTTCTATTCCCTCTGTTGTTGTTTTTTTTTGTTTTGTTTTCTGTTTTTTTGTTTGTTTTTGTTGTTGTTGCTGTTGTTGTTGTTTTGGGGGGTGGGGTTGTACACAAAAACACTCAGGAATATTTAATAATTTAAACAACCAAAGAGCACATTCTGCAAGGCTGCTGCCTGGCCACCAACACCTGGCCACAAGCACACAGCCTTTCTCTTTCCATGAGTCTAGAGTCTTCAGCTGCTCTGTCTCTCCATGCCTCATCTCTGCCTCCATTTCTGGTGTTGCTGCTTCACTGGAGCTCATGCTCTTCTCCCTTGATGGTCCTAGGGTCTTCTGGCTCTGGACTGTAAAGTTCACTACTCCCCCATTTTTGTTACAAAACTTATACATTTACAGTTGTGACAGTTGCAATTAGTCATGATAACAATTATTTACTGTTAAATCCTAAGAATCGTATCCCCATCTCCTTTCACCAGACCCATCTAGACAAAGTGAAAACTATTCAGTAGGGATTCTACCATCGCCTGCACACTCTGAAACTAAACACCCTCTTGAAGACTTGTAAGCCAGCGTCTTGGTGACTTTATATCTCCCCCATTTTAGGTCACCAATGTCTAAGTTGCCCATCATTATCAACTCTGTATACAGAGGAGATAGAATTAATACTCGATGTGAATACTTCTTCCCTTTCAGTCACTGTAGTTTGGATTTGCATCTCTCTATTGGTAGCATAGTGGTTACGAATCGGGCTGGAAACTGCAAGGTCAGCAGTTCAAAACTACCAGCTGCTCCGCAGGAGAAAGATGAGGCTTTCTGCTCCGGTAAAGATTTAGAGCCTCAGAAACCCTGTACAGGGTCACTATGGGTCAGAACCGACTCAATAGCTCTTAACAACAACAACAACAACAGCTGACTAATAATCATGAGCACATCTTCATGTAGTTATTGACTGCCTGAATATCCCCTTAGGTGAAGTCTCTCCTCATGTTCTTTGCCCATTTTTTTGTTTGGATTATATGTTTTATTTTTGTTCAGCTTTTGAAGTTTTCTGTTTATTTTAGAGATTAGATCCTTCTCTCTTATATAATTGCCAAATTTTTATTTCCCAGTCTGTAGGTAGTTTTTAGTCTCTTGATAAATATTTTTGATAAGCATAGGTGTATTAATTTAGGAGGTCATGTGGTGCTGTGGGCTAATGCGTCAGACTGCAAAGTCGCTTGAACTGCAAGGTCGGTGGTTCAAGCTCACCAGCTGCTCCTTGGAAACCCTATATAGGGTTGCTATGGGTCAGAATCAACTCGACGGCACTTAACAGCAACAACAACAATTATATGATTTATCTTCTGTTGTTCATACTTTGTTAGTTTTGTGTGATAGACTATGGATGCCCAAAAGTAGGTCTCTTAGTTTCAACCCTGTCACCTTCGAGAAACTATAGCTTTACCATTTAGTTCTTTGAGTCAGTTTGAGTTAATGCTTGTCCATGATTTGAGGTATAGATCCTGATTCTTTTTTTTTTTTTGCATGGATATATTGTTTTGCCTGCAACATTTGTTAAATAGGATATCCCCCATTGAACAGACTTTGACCCTTTGTTAAAGATCAGCTACCTTGAGATGGATGGATTTACTTTTGGGTTTTCAATTCTATTCCATTGGTCTATGTGTCTGTCATTGTACCAGTGCCAGGATGCTTTTATTATTATAATTACTATGGCTGTTAAGTGAGATTTTAAATCAGGAAGTGAAAGACTTCCTATTTTGTCCTTCTTCAGTATTGCATTAGCCATTTGAGGCCTCCTTCGTTCGTTTCCATGTAAAATTGGAGGTTAATTTTTACATTTCATTAGAGAATGTTGTTGGATGGGGACTGGATGAGGATCGTATTATATCTATAGTTGGCTTTTGGTAGTGTTGAGTTTTTCACAATGTTTAGTCTTCCAATCCATGAGCATAGAATGCTTTTCTAATCTGTAGATTTCTTTTCTTTTCTTTTAATGGTGTTTTATAGTTTCCATTGTATAAGTCTTTTACACTTCTTATTAGCTTTATTCCTATGTATTTTATACTTTGGGGGTTATTGTAAATGGTATT